ATTAGTGAATTTGTGTTGCAAAGATCTATCGATATCCGTAAAAATTTACAGGGTGTGTCATTTAAAATAAAAAAGTTTGCATTTTTATTGACTCACCCTGTATTCTTACATAAGCGATTTCACACTTGAATGATCCGGAGTTATTCGTTACAGAGCCATACCAATTTTAAGAAAAAAATATTCAGCCGTTTTTAAGATATCACCAATATTCCAGACTTTTTTTAAACCCTGTATATACGCGTCTAGAAATAGCTATTTTTTGAACTCATTTCAGTCCGTAAATCTTAATTTTCGGCCTACACCGTAAAATGCTCCATTTTCGGCCTAGTTCCTAAAAGTCGTCATAGCAACCTTGTCAGTTTGCATGTACCTGTCGCACCTGCATAATCAGTTTAAAATGTTGTCACATTCACTTCACATCTTTGAGCTATTACAAAAAAGTATTGTTTGTTTTACGTATCTAAAATATAGGTTTTTTAGATACCTACTTAGTTGCAAAAAATACATATCTTTGCTCGATTGACATAAAAAAAGTTGCCTTTGGTTTTAGTTAAAAAAAAAAAATTCTACTACCGCGCGTGAAGTACTTAGTTTACGCACTGTTCAAAAGACGTGAATAGCTATTTATACAATAAGTTGCGAAATGAGCTTCTTTTAGGCACGCGACGTGAAAATTGTCCAACGAGGCAAAGCCGAGTTGGACAACACGTCGAGTGACTAAGGCCGGGGTTACCCAATTCCTTAATTCTTAATTTTTGTTCTTAATTCTTAATCTTTAAAAACACCAATGTTAAATAAATTGAACTTTTTAAGAATTAAGAATTAAGGACAAATATTAAGAATTAAGGAATTGGATAACTCAGGCCTAAAAGACTTCGTTTCGTAACGTATTGTATACAAGATTTTTTCTACTGGCGTTTCATAATAAAAAAACACAATTTTATTTCAATGTTTGTCACCTTTCATAGTGGTGACTAATATTCATAATAAATACAAAACAAAATTCAAATCTGTGTTTAGTGTGTTTTTTATTTCTGAACAATGAATGACACTTTTAGGCACTAGTGCTTAAAAGTTACTTTTACGCACTTGAAAGTCACTTTTACGCACTTGAAAGTTACTTTTACGCACTTGAAAGTCACTTTTACGCACTGAGTGCCTAAAAGTCACTTTTACGCACTGAGTGCTTAAAAAAATATCGTTTCAAAACTAAAATGACAATCTAAAAGTGGCTATTATGAAACGTCAGTAGAAAAAATAAATTTTACGCACTATTGCGTAAAGTAATTCACAACAGCAAAAAAGTTTATTAAGGGCCGATATTATAAAACCATTTTGACAGATACCTAACTGAAAGTTAACTTCAGAAATTACCATAAGAAGTAACGTCATTCGAGAAGTTAACTTTTAGTTATTCTGTTAAAATAGTTTTATAATACCCGCCCTAAATTGCATTAATTTTTTCGCAAAAATGCATAAATAATAAATACGCACAAGTATGGAATTTTATATCACAAAAGCCTTTGCTGCCCTTTTTCTGCACTAAAAATGTGCTTTTACTTTACACCCTGTGAACTAAGTTAGACACTAGGGCGTAAAGTTGTGGTAGGTATATTTTTTCAAATGTATGACTTAATTATTGTCGGTACTAGAATTTTTTTTGGTATAAAACATAAACAGATGTCTGAAGTGAACCTTTTTTCACAAATGAATGAAAAAAAGAAGCTTTACACTCCTGTTGCATTTTTTTTTTCTACTACCAACAATATTGTAAGCGGGCGATATATGTAGATCATAACGCTCGGTGCCAAAAATTTGAAAAAAATATATACCACAACTTTACGCTCTATTGTGTCTAAAGTTACTTAGTTCACAACCTAAAGTGTGAAGTAAAATCTCATTTCTAATGCAGAAAAAGGGCAGTAAAGGCTTTTATAATATAAAATTTTATACTTGTGGGTATTTATGCATTTTTGCGAAGAAACTACAATTTAGTAAACTTTTTTGTTGTTGTGAAACACTTAACGCAATAGTGTGTGGAATCTAATCCAACGTTTGAACAGTGCGTAAAGTCAGTACCTACTTCACACAAGGCAGTAGAAAAAAAAAATTCAACTAAAACCAAAGGCAACTGTTTTTATGTCAATCGAGCTAATATATGTATTTTTTGTAACAAGTAGGTATCTAGAAGCCCTATATTTTAGGTACGTGAAACAAACAATACTTTTTTGTAATGAGCTCAAAGCTCAAAGATGTGAAGTGAATGTGACAACATTAAAAATTTTAAACTGATTATGCAGGTGCGACAGGTACATGCAAACTGACAAGGTTGCTATGACGACTTTTAGGAACTAGGCCGAAAATGGAGCATTTTACGGTGTAGGCCGAAAATGAAGATTTACGGACTGAAATGAGTTCAAAAAATAGCTATTTTTAGACGCGTATATACAAAAAATAGAGTTTACACATCCTACATAAGTTTTTTTTTTTTGGATTCTCAAGTTCTTTTCGAATATATCTCGCGAATTACTTATCCTATCACAAACTCAAAAACTGTTTCAAAATTAGAAAAAAAGAACGCATATTTTTAGGCTTCTTTTGGTAAGAAGTACCTACGGTCTAAGTTTACAGCTGCGTTTCAAAGAAAGTTGAAGAAAACCAATTCAATTTATTTTCCTATATTTTATTTATTTTTTGACAGATATACTATCTGTCAAAATGGTTTTATATTTTTATTTCATTCTTTAGTCCAAAACAAAGGTTTTTTTTTTTACTTGACGAAAATCGGTTAATAAATAAGAAAGTTACGATTTTTTTCAAGAATAGCACCAGCCGCCATCTTTAATTCATCATGGCGGAAAAAGCAAGCCTCCTAGGAGGTGTAACTTTTTTTTACAGAGTACTATTGATGGGTACTATCATCTGTGAAAAAATCAGCTTGATTGCAAAAACTTCTCCTATTTTTGCTAACTGCCCTGGCCTACTAGTACTCATCATATTGAAAGAAAAAAAAAATTATCAAGAAAAAACCAATTTTCAGAGGCGTCCTTTAGAGGCACGTAAATTCGTAGGGGGGGCCGTAAGAACTTTTTTTTATGGGAAGTTGTCATGTTATTTTTTTGTATTCTATCTGAATCCGAGAGATTGCCCACATATTCTGGGACACCCTGTATATGTGTATCGTAAATGTTAAATTTCAAGTTGTTGTGTTTTTCTTTAATATTATAACGTAATGTATTTTTGTATTATATTATTTACTGGAAATGCCTTGTCCGTTAATAAAATTTATTATTATTTATTTATTTATTTAAAAGAGAAGCATATATTATACAGGGTGTCCACTTAGTGCGATATCGGACGATTTCTCCTTACAGGGTGATGCAAGAAAAAAAAATTAAATTACAAAGTTGTTTGATACTCCAATATGCATTAGTTAAAAATATTTTTGAATATACAGGGTGCTCCGTTTATAGGGTATACGACAAAAGTTTGTTATTTCAAATGGAACACCCTGTATGTGATTGCATATTTGGATTCTATGTAAAATTCTGAGTAGATTTCATGTAATATACCCCATACCCGAGCCCATACCTAAGTGAAAATCTAAGATAGGAATGTAAAATCAGTTTTCGTCTAAAATTAACCGTTTAGGTTTTACAGCCTATCAAAGTAGCAAAAAGTCAATTTTCAACTGTCAATATTTCCAAAACAGTTGAACTTAGGTATAGAGTATATTACATAAAATCTGCTCAGAATTTTACGTAGAATCCAAATATGCAATCACATACAGACTGTTCCATTTAAAATAACAAAGTTCTGTCGCATACCCCATAAACCGAGCCATAAACGGAGCACCTGTGTATATTCAAAAATATTTTTAACTAATGCATATTGGAGTATCAAACAACTTTGTAATTTAAATTTTTTTTCTTGCATCACCCTGTGAGGAGATATCGTCCGATGTCGCACTAAGTGGACACCCTGTATATAAAATATTAAATATTAAACATTGAAAGTAGTTATAGTATAGAAAATAAACTCTTGAAAAAACTAATAGTCTTGGGGGAGGGGGCTGCAGCCTGGCGGCAGTCTCAACTGGATAGGCCTATGGGTCAATGAACAGACCACTGTCAATATCAGCTGAACTAATTATATTAAATATAATAAACATAACACACAAACAAATCTCAGGAAAACTCCAAGTAGACACAATTAAGGTTTTACACAGATGCATCCAAAACAGATGAAGGAACATTATCAATCAACGTAGTCCAGAAGTAGAATCTACCCAAAATTGCATGTGTATTCACAAGAGAACTTTTCAGCATAATCTAAGGCACTAGTAGAAAACATAAGCTCTGTTCTAACCTACATGAGAACTCTCATGTCGGTTGGAACAGAGCTATAGAAAATAGAAACTCCCTCACTCAAGAGAGAGAATATATCCAAAACGCCATAGAATATAAAATAAAAAAGACGTTAATAGATATGGAAAATGACCAAAGATGTTTTTCATTTTTTACCCCCTCTCATATCGGCAATGACTCAGCAGGCTCTGCAGCTGAAGACGCGGCCTGATTGCGCATCCACCTTCCGGTCAAGGAACACAAAGAGAAAACCTGACAAGACATTGAACATAATAATTGGTCCTCCGAGACAATCTTGAAATCTGACTCACACAAGGACACTTACTACAAAGAACTGATCCTCCATGCCCCAGTTTCTGAAATATGCAATGAAGTAATATCAGGTAACACCCCCGGTAACACCTAGAATTGCATCTCACATGCAAGGCTTCCTCAACAGCCACCAGGATATACTTACTAAAATTAATAGATTTTCTAAAAGAATGTAATTAATACCTACTCAGAATTATAATGTTGGTATAATAAGATAAAATTATTGTACCATTTGCTAAAAACCCCATTGGTTGATGCACATCAAATCTTAATGAGAAAAAATTCAAAAATGTACTCCTTTATTTCGGACCACAGTGTATACTTAGGTACCATACTGAGCCAAAAAAAATTATTGTGACTTCTGCTTGTAACACAAAGCGACACTAGGTAGGTACTTACGGTTGTGGAGGGTGACTTGGTTCTTCATAATTAGTAGTTGTAGGCGTTAAATTAGGAGTTTGGTCAATTGCACCAGGGGGTAAGGTGAGATTCAATTTATTTTTAGACATAATGAATAAATACTGACCAAACCCAACGCATCACCATTCACAATTTCGTGGGTATTTGTGTGTGTGAAATTGAGAAGCTTCTTAGGGCTCACTAAACTAAAATTATAGACACAGAAATGCAATATGGTTTTACAGCAATAAGTAGGTATACCTATAAGCAAATTGCGGTTTGTATTTTGCATTGAAATTAACTGGTTGATTTAATAAAGACTGAAATGAATAATGTAATGATAATAATTTTTGCTGATCATGTTGAATATTAACAAAAGGCATCAAATATCTAAAGATACTAGGATTTATTGGCTTAACGACTGCGCAAGTGCGAAAGGGGACATCTTCCTATCTTCTCATGTTCCCATCCACCTCATTAAATTAATTATCATGATTAAATAGCTTCTTGTTGTGTCTATTGGTCGAGAACATTTTGGGTTTGGGCGGATTCGGATTTAAAAAACTATCCCGACCCGTGGGCGGTGGCCCGTCCTTTTAAAAACAGCTGACAGCTTTTACGAGTTAACGGTTAACCGTCTTCGTCCTTGATTCTTGATTTTTTTGTAGTTTCGGGTTTCGGCGGTTTTATCTTTTATGGTTCTTTTTGCATAGGGATTTCATTTGTTGCACTCAGTGCAGTTACCTTAGCGCAGTTTTTGTATTCCGTTCGAATTACCCTTTCGACCACAATTTGTTGTAACATTGGAACTGTGATTATAATACCTTTTGGGTTCAATGGTTCAATCGTTATATTTTAACTGACAAAAGTGCATCTCTGGCTCTTTTAACTCAAAAATATTGAAATTTGTTTGAATTTTAGAACACTGAAAAGTTAAATGCTAAATGAAAACTGACTCTCTGTCACGCTCATGACTTCTGACATGACAAGTCACATGCGCCAACTGCAGGCCTCTTATGATATTAATTTATCAATACAATAATTATTAGTTATTACAATAAGGTAATACGCTTTGTTGGAAAAACAAATTTTTATAAGAAACTTGGTGATAATGACAACAAATGCAAATGAGCAAAAAGCTCAGCAATTAATTGCCGAAGCTGAAAAGAAACTTGGGCCTAGAGGATTTTTTGGATCCCTATTCGGGTAAGTGCCAAGTGGGTCGCCACAACTTTATTTTGTCAAGATGTCCTGCCCAAAAAACCTGTGTTAATTTTCCTTTATTTTTCTTATTTCCTGTTATTTTATTCTATCTCCTGTATAAACCAGGCTTTTGAAACTCCTTAGGGGTTCCAGTCGAGTAGATGATGCAGTGGAATGTTACCAACGTGCAGCGAATTTGTTTAAAATGGCAAAAAATTGGCCATCAGCAGGGAGTGCCTTTTGTGAAGCTGCTAATCTACACCTGAGAAGTGGGGCTCGACATGAGGCAGCAACGAATTACATAGATGCTGCAAACTGTTACAAGAAATCTGACACTAACGGTAAGAATTTTATTACTACCCCTAACTAAAAATTCAATCACCTTCAATATGCCATAAATAACAGGAACAGGCATATCTAACTTTATTCAGTGACAGTTCTACTATACTAACATAGGTCCCTCTGTTGCATTTGTTTTTGCAGAGTAAATGGATTTTTGGTCACCATGCAGAAAATATGACAAATTATCATTAAAGAAAGTAGTAGAGCGTGGAGCAGTGTTTTGTGGTCCTATTTCCAGGGTGGTTTTTTGTGTTTTTTTTTTGTGCTTTGGCTTTGAAACTTATTGCCTTTTGGTGATTATTTCTAAAGGGTTTTTTTTTCCAAATCTCCTATTATTTCGATTTGTAATATAATTTTCTGAGAAATTTGGTTGGTATCTTGCAATAATTGCTAACGCTTAATAAATAATTGTTTGGAAAAGCATTTTCCGATATTGCTTAAAATAGCTAAGTCGCTTATTTTTGTGAGTCCTTTAGTAATGCAACTTTCACTACTGCCTCAAAAATTACATTGCAATAGCATGAGATTTACTTCAAAATCGATCCAACAAGTAATTGTGAATCATCTCAATTTTTTTCCCATAATTAAAGCACTATTTTATTACATAGCGACAATTTTGTAACAAATACCTAGCTCCATATTCTTGAATATATATATCTAGGGAGTAGGACTTTATGAGTCAATTAGGTGTGATTCTCTCAGGAACCTGAATTTGTGAGTACATTTGAAGTGGTTTGAACATAATTTGTATGCTGAAATGAATGTTGACAATCTCAATTTACTGCTGTGAGGGATGTCTTGCCCCAGACAATTGCTTTTCAGTTATCAGACAGAAAATTTTTACAGTTATTTAGAGTGGATCAGAAACTCTGTCAACATAATTGATATGGTCACCCTGTCACCCATTTTCTACTACAACATACAAAGACCTCGACCATATCAATACAAACGAAAGTGAGCAAACAGTAGTTAGGTGAGGAATAGTTATAACTATGTATATATATTATCGAGTAGGTATGTTTATGCCTGATACCTATATTTCAAACAAAAAAACAAAACTTATACGGTTTCCAACTACTGGCTCAAATAGTTTTGTAGCCATTAGCTAGCCTCTAACACCCAAGCTATGGATTACTATGGATGAGGTCACAGATGCCTTGAATCAATGTGACATTTTAAACAATATGATCTGGTTCCATCAAAAACTGCAGAGCTGGGAACTCTTCCCACTTGATAAATTAATAACAGAAAAATTAGTTATTGAAATGTTTCGTCTCTATCTGCTGTAAATTGATTCTCATAATTCAGCATCTCTAAAACTATGAAAGAGAATAAATTCCTAAGAGTTTAAGTGAAGTGAAGTTGCGGCCAAGCCACTACACAATCCCAAGTCCAAGTGGCATCTGGACCTGTGATAAATACACCTGGGTGTAGCATCACACAAAATTTGTATTTCAGAAGTCATTCCAAACAAATACTGGGAGAACATGCTCAGATTTATTTATAAAGTACACAAAACGAATTCAGGCATTCTGAGCCAGTTGAATCTTCTTCTGGTGGAACACATTAGTTAAATAATTGAAGTAAAGTCCGTTTCACGAGGGTTTATACTTTTGACATCGAAGACGTCATAACTTGAAAAAAAGGGTTGTCGTAGATTAATTCATATGACATGTTCAATTTTTTTTGACAAATTAAAATGAATGACTTCTGGTTTAAGAACCGACGAAAGTTTTTGACGGCATTAATTTGTTTCAGTCAATTTCTATTGGTTAAAAAAAGAAGGCAAGTAGTAGTAAGTAGTAAATGTAATTTTATTAGGCAAATATATATAAATATACATACACACACCCAAAAGGCCATTGACCGAAGTCCTTCAGCCTAAAAAGTAAATTTGCACTTGTTTGGTTCACATTCAAAAGAATTACTGGTTAGAAGAAAAGGAGATTTGGATAAATAGTGTGGATATAAAAAAAAGAAAAAAAAATATATATATACATTATAGTTAGCTAAATAAATATGTAAATAAATAGGTACACTGTTATTGAGTTCTTGTTATCATTTCCCATAGAGTATTTTCTGGATATTTATAGCGTGAAACTTTTCCAGGAGTTCGAATTTTTATTAATGGTCTTAAAAATTCCAAGTTGTATGGTTTTTCAGAAAAATGATTCGACAGGTGCTGCAATCTCTCAACAATTGGTGTGATCCCTGTTCTATTGTATAACTCTTCATTGGAGGGGTGGTGTAGTGGATTTCTTGGGTGCCGCAACTTTGTGATTGCTCAGAGAGCTTTTCTTTCAGCCATTTCCAAATTCTGTAGAGCTGGTCTTCTAATGTTTTGGTAAAGTAAGTGGCCGTATTCAATTAATGGTCTACAAATACAGGTATAAATATGAGCTGCAGTTTGGATAGTGATTCCCTTGTTTTTGTATGTGAGTGAACGAAAATGTTTGGCTCTAGTGACTACTCTTATCTGGACATTTTTGGTTTGTTGGTTTAGTGACAATTTGGCATCCAATGAGAAACCCAAATATTTTACAGATGGCTGTGCTTGAATTTGATGAGTTGAGATGGTTATTTTTGGGCTATTTTCATTTAATTTGTGGTTGAATATGATAAATTGTGTTTTTTCTGGATTAAGTAGAATTCTCCATGTTTGCAACCATTTCATTATCAGATTTACAAGTGATTGTAATTTTTCCATCACACCAGAATAGAGTGGTGAGCCTTGAGGTACGCCTTGTGATGGATAGAATATTTCTGAGCATATTGAGTTTATCTGGATGAATACCTCTCGGTTTTCTAGGAAGTTCTTAATTAGACAGATCAGATGTTTGGGTACTTTGAGAATAAACAATTTGTATAAAAGACCTTTGAACCAGACACTGTCAAAGGCTTTTTGGATATCTAGGAAAACTGCTGCCGATTTCTTGTTTTCATGTTTCATTGTTTGTATATTGGACATCAAAATTGTCAGAGGATGGAGGGTGGATCTTTTTGTTTGGAAACCAAATTGATGTTTTGGAATGCTTTCGCTCACATAGAAGTCCAGAACCTTCCGTACAACCTTTTCAAAAAGCTTCCCAATCGCTGGTAGCAAGGTTATTGGTTGGTAATTACTTAGTTTTGTTCTGTCTGGATTACCTTTAGGAATTACTGTTATTTTGCCTTTTTTCCACACTGTTGGAAAATGATTATTGCTCAAGCAGAATTCAAATAGCCTGATAATGTGTTTGTGCATAGTTAAATCTAGCTTTTTGATAATATTCCAGGGTATAGAATCATGACCAGGTGAGGTATTTTTCTGTTTAGTTAAGATATTTTAAAGTAGTCTTCTTGATTGACAGGATAGTTTTCATAAGAGTTTTCTGTAAAGAATTCTTGATACCAGTTGTTGATGAGTGCTTCTTGGTCTTTGTTGAACTCCTGATGTGTCTTGTACTCGAAAACCTTTTCAAAGTGACGCTTGAACACACCTGCTTTTTCTTGATCTGTGTTGAATGACTCTCCGTTATCATCGATAGTGGGTATGTTGAAGGATGGCTTGTATTTGGACAATTTTTTGACTTTCTGGAAATAGTTTCTTCCTTTTAGTTCGTTAGCTTCATCACAAACTTCAATCCATTTACTTGTTCTGTATTCTTTGATCATATTTTGAATGTTTTTGTTGTATTCGTTTATGTGTCTTTTTATTTCCGGCCTTTTGTTTCGACAGTATTCTCTGAACATTTTTCTTTTCACTTTTATCATTTTAATTATAAATGGAGGAAGAACATGCCCGTAGAATTTACGTTGATACTTTGGCGTATTATCCAGTATTGCAGTTTGTAGCGTGTCCATAAAGTTATCTATTGATTGTTCAGCGATAGGTTCTGATCTTATGGCTCGCAAGTGATGGTTAAGGGTAGTATTAACTTCGTCTATATTTGTTTTGTTGAAGTTGTATTTGATGATTTTGTTTGCTACTATAGGAGCCTCCAAGTCTAGGGAAATAACCATTGATTGATGATCTGACCCGATGTCCGATATTATCTCCACCCTTTTTATATTATCTCTGACATTTTCTGTATATAACAATAGGTCAGGAGTTGAATCATTATTGTTAGGCATTAGAAAAGTTGGAGGGGTGTTATATTGCACAAAATCGGTGTTCTCCAAGAAATTATCTAACTGTTTTTGTTTTCCATGTTTACTTTTGGGATTGAAGTCCCCCACAATTATAGCATATTTATGTATTTTGGCCATGACGAAAATGGATTCTTCTATTAAACTATTTGGGTGCATATAAACTAGGAAAATGTGGAGTCTGTTGTCTTGGAATGGTATTGAAAAATGTATACAGTTATTGAGCGGATTGTTGATAATTGGTGGGTTTGCCTTTTTTGCTTTAATAGAAGGATTTATTTGTGCTAGGCAACCTCCTCTCACATTTTGGTTTGCGATGTTTCCTGCCGTATGTATTGTATCCCAGTTTTGATATGTGATGTTAGAATTTTCTTTTGTTTTAGTCTCCAGAAGGCAAATTATGTCAAAAGTATAAACCCTCATGAAACAAAGTAAGTGTACACTAGGGGTGCGTTCGAAATCACCCTGGGCGTCACACCGAGTGCACACCAGCTATGAATTATTCATGGCTGGTGTGCACTCGGTGTGACGCCAAGGGTGATTTCGAACGCACTCCAGTATTTTCCAAGTAGGAATAAATTAGTCAATCTACTAACATGAGCTGCAGCTTCTCACACAAGAATGAGAATAAGTTTTTCAGTTAAAAATAGATCTACCTGAATGGATCAACCTCATGTGTAAGAACCCAATTTATTAGCTGGAAGGAATTTGCAGCAAATCATTATTGCTTATCATTTTAATTTTTAACTGCTCACTGGGAAAATAAAGTATTTCTAAATAAGTGTTGCTAATTATTTCATTAACAAAAAGGCTTGAGGAGGTAATATTAAGTAAGCTTATTAAAATAAACTAATAGAAACTAAATTCAGAACAAAAATGATCACATCTTCCAATGAATTTCCTTACCCTTATAACTGTTTGTAGAAATAATTCCCTTTTGGCTTATTTCAAGAAACTTCTTGTTGTTCCTTATGGAATCCATCAACCTAGCTGACTTTGTTTATCCTTCTTTTTCTATATAGGTGCCCTATTCTCTTCAATTTCCCCGTTTTGGCTATTCTAGATGAACTTGTGGTGGTGAAATATAGTCGAAATAAAGTGATTCTAAAACCATTGTAAACCATATTGTTCACAATGACTTTATGGTCCTAAACCTCGATTTGAGCTATCAACTGGAATGAAATAGACTATAGACCTTCTTTTCCTGGTTTATTAAAATAGATCATAGTTTTACGGTTTTATTCATAGTAATTTTACCATAATAGTTACAATTTCAACTTGTTGCTTTAGTTTCCTGTGTTTAGAACTACTACTGTATACTATAAATATTATCCACAGGATTACTAGAATGCCAAAAGGCCTGCTCTCATTTCTGAGATTGTTCGCACTACTAAAAAGTAAAATGGCAATGAATGCAAAACACTTTTCATTTAGAAAATGGAGTTATTTTCGTTTGAATATTTTTCGAATTCATATTCGCTTGCACAGCCCTTTCTTCCGTATTCTTAAGGGCTATTATTCCTCCAAAACCTACATTGTTTTGTTCCGACCATAAGGAAACCAATTTTAAGGTGTGATAGTTTCCTGTACTACAGTTTCTGTTTGCTTTTTGTTCTAAATTCCTTGTGGTCTTGCCAGTCCTCATTCTCAAAATCGTTTTTCATGAGAATGTTACGCTAGCATTTTTCATTTACTGAGTCTTCTAGTCGCTGCCATACCATATGCAAATATATGGTAGCATGGCCTTTTCTGGTTGATCGTAAACAAAGGAACAAAATGTTTGAAACACTAATTATTGTTAAAAGTATTTCGAGTCTTCCATTTTTTCATGGAGTTGGTGCAGATTACACAGGGTTGTTAAAGGTCTTGGGACACCTTGGTAATTTAGTTTTAAGAATTACTAGAGGTGTTAGCAAGCTTATGTGTGCCTTTACACATCCTAGAAACATTATTTGCTGTTTGGCCAATTCTAGATGTGGTGCAGTTTGTTTGGAAAATGAAACATACATTCGATTGGGCAGAAGCTTTCAATGTAATTCAGTTTCAGCTGCAAATTACGTGGTTTCTTAGATAAAATTTCTCATTGTAAATGTACTGAACAGTTCCTGCTTTGGTGACAGTTTTTCGTCTGCAACCATCACGTGCATTACACTTTTCATTGCCTATTGCCTTTATTTATTTTGAAACCTACATTCTCAAACATCTGATCTTTATCAATTTAAATCCTGTGTGTTAAATCAATCATTTGTTATCTTTTATTTACTGGATTCAAAAAAAATTAGAATAATTTACCCCAAAAAAATAAAATAGTACCTATAGTCTAACAAATACCATTTTAAAGTCACGTGATTTTTCTCTATCCTTGTTGAATACATCTCAACAGCGGTGATAGTAAAATTGACAAAAAAATTGCTGTCTAATTATTGTTCATAATATTCTTACCTGAAATAGAATCCGTCACTGTCATCAATTAGTTTGTCAAAATTATTTTCGAAAATAATACAACGAACAAACACAGCTAATAATTTTGACTATATTAACCTTTTTCCAACTCGAAAAGAAGCAAATAGAAAACGGGTACCCAGTTTAAGTTCTGAATGTATTACAACAGACAGCAGATGCGACAAAAGTGAGTCTCGCAACAATTGCAAGTATTAAAATTGCCCTCTGATTGGTAAATACTACTTCAGAAACGCGTTTGTAAAATGCTAGTGGGAACATAAATTAAAATTCAATAGTAATTAACCACCAGTAGCTTTTTGTAGGTGATGTCAACGACATAATCAATGGACATACGTTTTTTGCCACCAGTATCACGTGACTTTAAAATGGTATTTCTCGGACTATATTTGTTTGTATTTTTAAAATAATCGTTCTGCTTATGGTGGAGTTACTTGCACATTACATAGTCCTCATTCTTATAAAATTAACCAACTTTTTTTTAAACAAATTTTAACAACATAAAGGTGATGATTGCAATCAATGTTTTCATAAGCTATTGATTGTTTTGTGTCGTTCTGTTATTTTGTCACGGCGTATCCTTATTTCATATGACATTATGTACTAACAATCCTGCTTGGTGTCAGCTTTTTGTGTTGATTGTACTGCATCCCTAATTAATAAATTTGTGGCTAAGGTAAGTACAAGGGTTAATAGTATTATTGAATAAGCTGGGCTTTAAAAGGGTCTTAATGTTTTTTCTGAATTAGTGGTAAACCTCAATTACTAAATGGATTTGGGTTGGTGGTCGAATAGGCTAAGTTAATAGGGCAGATAATTTATTGTAAATATTCGATACACATGCTTTAATTTACTAATTTTAAACCCATATTGTGGTTCATCTTCTGCATGCTTTTTGAATAACTTCATAATATCTATCTATCTATCTATTTAATTTTGTTGTTGCAGATGCAGTGGCTTGTTTTTTAAAAGCTATAGAAATGTACACTGACTTGGGACGATTTTCTATAGCAGCAAAACATCACCAATCTATTGCTGAAATGTATGAAAATGATGCTGTGGACCTTAATAGAGCTGTACAACACTATGAACAAGCTGCAGATTACTTCAGAGGTGAAGAGAGCAACTCTGCTGCCAATAAATGTTTGCTTAAAGTTGCCCAATTTGCCGCTCAACTGGAACAATATGAAAAAGCAATACAGATTTATGAGGAAGTAGCAACAACTTCCTTGGAAAACTCTTTGTTAAAATATAGCGCCAAGGAATATTTCTTCCGAGCAGCGCTTTGTCAACTATGTGTAGATACTTTAAATGCTCAGCATGCATTAAATCGTTATTTGCAAAAGTATCCCGCATTTCAAGACTCCAGAGAATACAAACTTGTGAAAACTTTAATTGAGCATATTGAAGAACAAAATATAGATGGTTTTACTGATACTGTCAGAGACTATGACAATATTTCTAGACTTGATCAGTGGTATACAACTATGTTGCTGCGGGTTAAGAAACAACTTAATGAAAATCCTGATTTACGTTAAGATTTTATTTTTTTTCAATATCTGTCTCTTTTCTCAATGACCCTTTTTGGTCATTGCATATCGAGTTGTAATATTATAGTTATTTTTATTTATTGTTATTTTTATATTAATGAATTATTTGTTGAAATATTTGTATGTATGTATTTGATTTTATTTACAATTTAGGGGCTTAGATCTTTTTTAACATAATTATATTTGTAATAAAATTGAGAGTGTATAATGAAATGTAATGTACAGGGTGTTTCACGAACATCGGAACAGTGGCGTTTTAGGGTATTTTAAGGTCGATTTAAAATAAAAAACGCTTGGACACGGCATTTTTGTATTCAAGGCGGGGGAAACTTTTTGACCCTATCGGTATTTCGCTAGGCTACACCCCTGGGTGGTGTGACTTTCACCCCTGTTTCTTAGATAGGGAAGATGGGTTGAGGGTTAAGTGATAGCTTGTTTCAAAGGTATTTTGATTCTCGTCACAACTGCGTATTTTTAAAAAAAAACGAATGATTACTTCTCAAGATATTCACTGTCAAAGTTGCAATGGGCTAAATAAGAAATAAAGGTGCACCCTAGCGAAATACCAATGAGGTCAAAAAGTTTCCCCTTGGATACAAAAAAGACGTGTCCTAGCGTTTTTTTAAAATCGACCTTTAAATACCCTAAGACGCCTCTGTTTCGATGTTTGTGAAACACACTGTTACACACACACATATTGTTAAGTTGATATGGGAACATATTATTGTTGGGTCAACTTTTTGCTTCTATTCAATTTCAGCTTTATTTTTATTAGAATTTTCTGGTTACAGTAACAATAGGTATGGTAAATTTAGCTCTTCATATTAGGTTAAATTTAGGTATTTCAAGTTAGATTTAAGGAAAGATAATTTGTAATTTAATTTATTTAATAAAAGAGTGACCTAACCCTTGAAGAGCAGAACTGTGTATCAATCCTGGAATAGAAAAACTAATAACATTAAAATAGTTATTTATTTTTATTTTATGGGAAAACCCCATTAACGGTTTTACAATTAACAAAATATAAAGTTATGAATATAGATTAGACATTAAAATCATCCAAACTAATTAAAACAACCCCTCTTAATATAAGCCCATTAAACATAGCAAAACCACAACCTAAAAAGTGACATCATTAAATTACTCTATAAATTCTTTCAAAGATATACCAAATATTTCACTTTGATGGTCATTAACAACTCTAGAGTATCAATCCATATGCGTATTAAAACCATAATTTGTACAGTAAAAAGGAATATAAAAGGAACTGACATTGTACTCTAGTTTCGACCTCACTAATGCACAATAAACATTCCTAACAGTATCAACAGAGAAACTGTTAACAGTTTCTCAAAATAAAACCCAACATCTTGGAAGCCTGTACCGTACCTGTGTTTATGTGATCAATGAAAGTTAGGCCTTCATCAAAAATAACCGTGTAGTATTTGATTTTTTTTTTACCTATTTTAAAATCTTTCCCATTGAAGTATGATATTTTTTTCCCCTGATAAAAACTAATTTGACAACATTTTTAAATATTCAGAAACAGTTTGTTTGTACTGCATTAATCGTTCAACCTGAACAGGTCCTCCTGCAGGAGCTGTTGATCGGACCAGTCGTCAATTATTCTAAAAGCCTTGACATCGTCAGCAAAAGCAAGACCCTCACTGTTCTGAAAGCAATTTAAAATAGAATCAACAAACAAATCAAAAAATAATGGAGAGCAATGCCCTCCCTGAGGAATGCCAGAAGTAACCAGAATTGCATCAGAAGACCCTATTTTCACCTTCTGCCTATGATCAGACAAAAAACTCCTTGTCCAACCAATAGTCGCCGCACTGAATCCTATATCATGTAATCTATTAAGAAAAGTATAGTGATCCACTCTATCAAACGCCTTGGAAAAATCAGTATTGCATCTACTTGCTTAAACTCTTCCAAGGCTTTAGTTATTTTATTATGATATGTGACTAGATTGGTTACCGTTGAACGACCAGCACAGAATCCATGCTGATTTTTATTAATTAACCTGGAACACATCCATTTTAACTGATCACTGATGAGACTGTCAAAAAGCTTGAGAATCAATGATTATATGCATACACTCCTATAATTAGTTACATTTAGCCTGTCACGGCTCTTGAAAATAGGAACAATAAAACTATCCTTCCAAAGGTCTGGAAAGGTTGACAAACACAATGACTTGTTAAATAACATACACAAAGGAACTACAAGAGTGCATAAACAAAACATTCTCATTAAGAAACAATTTGGAATCCCATCAGGACCCAAGGTGTTTTTATTGGGAAGTTTAACTATCTTATTGTATATTTCTTCTTTTTGACTAGTGCCTGATTGTAATCATTTCAAAACATGGCTTAAGTTATATACAAAGAATTTTTAGTTTTATTTCAGAGAACATAGAAGCTTAAGCACCAGCTGATATTTTTAAAATTCTTCAAACACCTTCTCACTTGTGAAAAAGGCTCACCTACTTGAATTTTTTGTTAGTTTTACAAGATGACTTTGAACCGTACAGATTGTCTTTTGCTGAGATGATGAAAGAATGATTTCTTGACATTTTTCTCAAAAAACACAGATCAATTAAATGAACTTTAACTTTTCAAGTATGCATTAGGCACTACCTTAATGCCTTGTTTGGGTGAAGCTATTGCTTTGATGTCCACTAATTGTGTGACTCTTCTGACAGTCAATTATTTTTTAGTTTAAAAAAAATGTGAACATATATTATGTGTATATTTTCCAAAACAAATCTAATCTGCCTACTTACTTCCTGTTCTCTTGTGTATGCTCCAATTGATGTAAGTTTCGACGACACAATAATTACTATTGCGTTCCACTTGGTCGCTGATAATATGGATTTGTCTTAGCGTTGGTTTTTAATGTTCTAATATTTTTCTTCCTTGGATATATTCTTGATTTGCTCTTTCGCGTTTTATCTTCCAAGTTTTTCCTATATTTTCTAATTGTTGTATATCAGAATTAAAGAATACTAATAGACAAAGATAGCTCACGTATGGGATAAACAACACAGAATACAAAAATCTGATTCAAAAATATACGAGAAAGAACAACATTGGAGAAAAAGAAAGTTAACAATAATTCACAAGTGCATCTTCTTGACAGTGTGACGAACCTAATCGACACAAGTTCTGGAGATATAATGCAATACATGACGATAGTGCATTGTAGGAACATGCAGAGAAAAACAAATTCATATTCATGGGCGCAGTATCTCAATTCTTTCTTTGCATGAAAAACTCGCGGAAAAACTGCATCCACTTTTTATTCTAGCAATATTCCTATAATTTCTCACTTCGCACTTTCCAAATGCTTTCCTAAATGTATACCTAAATAATATATAGTAGGTGTAAGTAATTCTTGTCTAGGTCCTTTCAATTAGTCTTATTTGTTTTGGCGCAAAAATCACTCAAAAATCTTGTCTTCTGGTGTGCTTCTTCCTTTCTTTATCCATTGTGTTTCATACATTATTTTTGGTAGTGCCTTTTGTTGGAATGCCTAATGATGGTAGGTACCATCGTCACCAAAAGTAACTGGGACAACATCATATTAGCTGCTGTACTATTATATGAATATTATTGTCAAACTATGAATTAAATGCATTGGAATGAATGACATTACAATTAGTCCAGGAGATTATTATGCATTATTTTTGTCCCAGATATTTTTGGTGACGATGGTAAGTATCTGTTGCTACTATTTATCTCAATTATCTGATCATCATTAATGTAAATATGTCCACTGCACCAGATAACATGATGATTTTTGGGACAATTACAACTGAATAATCAAAGAAAATAGGGAAAAATTTAAAAAAATAAGTTCTGACCAATCATCTCTCCTCTGCATGGGGCACTGAAATACAACTTATAACCTACTTAGATTTGTGTGGTGATGCATCAAAGCAGGTCTTATTTCTAACATGCTCTTATGGAAATGTGTTGTGCGATTTTGTCAGTAACTGTTTAGGGAAAAGCCTATCTAAACTTATTTTTAGACTCATCTTAAAACCATTTTTTAGGTAGCGCTTACAATACACAGAGTGTCTCAAAGTTTCGGAATTAAATTTTTTGTAACTTTTGTTCACAAAAAAAAAGCTATCATTGATTTCACACGCAATAGTAGAATGGGTATAATTCTATACATAAATATAACACATACCTAATTTTTGTTGCAGAGGCTGTCCATTGCTTCTTGAAAGCTATAGAAATTTACACTGATATGGGTAAATTTACAATGGCCGCGAAACACCATCAAACGATAGCTGAACTCTACGAAGCTGAATCTGTAGATCTGGAGAAAGCTGTTGAGCATTATGAACAGGCAGCGGATTATTTTAGAGGCGAAGAAAATAATGCTTCTGCTAATAAATGTTTACTTAAAATGGCTCAATATTGTGCTCAGCTTGAAAACTACGAAAAAGCTATCCAAATTTATGATATTGTCGCTACGACTTCTTTGGAGAATTCCTTGTTGAAGTACAGTGCAAAAGAATACATGTTTCGGGCTGCTTTATGTCATCTATGCGTGGATGTTTTGAATGCCCAGCATGCTTTAGAACGATATTTGCAACAATATCCTGCTTTTCAGGATTCAAGAGAATATAAACTTATCAATACTTTGATCGAGCACATTGAAGAACAAAATGTAGACGGTTTTACTGACACAGTAAAGGACTATGATGAAATATCACGTTTAGATCAGTGGTTTACCACTATTCTTTTAAGAATTAAAAAACAACTGAATGATAATCCAGATTTGCGTTGAAAATTTCATGAACATATGTTTTTAAAATATACTGTTATATTTAATTTAAACTATTGCTTAATTGTTAATTTTATGTTATATTGATAAAAATACTTTAGTAGTAATATCCTGTAATTTTTTTAAAATAACTTAATACGAAATAAAATATAAATTCAGTAGAACCCAGTAATCCGCGCGCGAGCTATCGGGGCTGCGGATTATCCGAGCCATGATTTCCCATTATTGAAATTGAATTTTTGAATAGCGTTACCGTAAATCACTTGTAGAATTCTATTTTTTTTCACTTATCTTTTTACTACATACAATGTAATCCGTGCTTCGTCCGGTTCCGTGGAGCACGGATAATCGGGGTTCCACTGTAATAGCAATATTTCATATAGACCTATAAGGCCTTAAGTTTATAAACATCTAAAATTTTGATGGCAAGACAATGTGAATAATTCAATATAATTGCTAATAACCATACGATCAATTGACTGCTTTACTATATTTTTTGAATTGGTGGACAAATTAGTGTGTGTAGCTATTTCAAACCACAATAGTTGCACATTATTTTTGATAGAACTAAATGCACTGGGCCCAGAATTGAAAGAGTACCTACCTTCATTTTTCCACAATCACGTCAGAGGGTTAATATAATGTGCAGATATGTTCCCTGGAATATTTTTTTTTTAATTGTTAAATAGTACATTGCAGAAGTTCACATGAAATAAGTTTTGTTTGGAATAAAATAAGGCTATTGAATTATTTGTTGATTAAGAAAAGGTACTCTTGAAATTTAAGCTGAACATGTTAGTTTTTAATTTTTTTGTGTGAATATGACGTGTCTGCCGTTAATAAGTTGAGTGAGCAGTCTACTACAGTTTTTAAAAAACTGAAAAAAAAATATATTATTTCCAAGGTATTTTTAATAATTTTTTATTTTTTGGCAACCATAAACATAACATACTTTTGTTGGTTAAACCTATAAGTACTAATTTCTGTGAAAGATTTATTTATTGCTTTTTGGGTAGTGCTGTTTTGGTGAAAAAAACAGAAGGTATTCCACGGATTTTAACTGCCTGTAGAATACGAGTTTATAAATTGTGAATGTATGCTGTCTAGGTAGGTTTTCAATTTGTATTGTCCATTATCAAAGTAAAAAATAGCACTTTTTTCGGAAATAATGACACATTAGTATTAGAAGTAAATAATGCTGTTTAAATTTAATAATTTTATCATAATAAATTATGAAGGAAAAGGATAATTAGTCCAAGCTTGAAACACTTAGTTGAAACTCGTTTTTGAACGCGATGTAAGGTTTTTAGATTAATAGGATATAATATAGTAATTCATTGAGAGATATCAATTTTAAGCTGTATATAATCATAGGTGGCATAATAAATTATATGAAAACAAATATCACTGCTATATTATTTTTACAAATTATGACCTTTTTCCATTAGGAAAATTGTTCCATCCATTTCAGTTAGGCTTTGGAACCAAATGTGGAGTAGAAGCTAGAAGCCGACTCCATTCGTCGCTTTATCAATTTTCCACAATACTTTAGATTTATTCTTCAATGCTAAAAAACCCACTTTGCTACCATATAGAGAATGAATATAATCCTTTGACAGGAAGGTGTCCAACAAGTAGATTCTCTTGGGCCACCCCTTTTCTGCCCTGAGTGCCTAGCTATTCATGATATTGTCTCTCCATTAGAATCTAGTATAAATCTTTGGTATCTTGATTATGGATGTATTGCTGGAGATCCACAATCGGTTCTAGAGGACTTTGAAAATATAATTTTTTCTAGTAAAAATATTGGACTGCAACTTAATTTGAAAAAAAAAAACGAAATTTATTTCTCAATAAATAAATTAAAAAAAAACTGTTATCACCATTCAAAACCATTGCTCCCAATTTCATGAACACTCCATGACTTTACCCAGGATGTCCCTTCTCTTTGAAGAAAATCAGTGAATCAATTACCTACATCAGAAATATCAATCTTAACCAAATTTTCAACAAATTTAACATAGGTACCTATCTAAATTCTCAAGCAATTATTATTTTTTTAAATTCATTCACTATCTAACAACTTTCTTATGTATTACCCTGTGCTTTTTGTTGGAAAAGTCCAGAAGATCTTCAAAAATATGATAAAATGCTTAAAAATAATTTACAGTATTGGATTTTCTTGGCATGCAGACGTTTCACCAACGATAAACGCCAATGGTTGCCGTTGGTCTTCACAGCTAACAACTTAAAATTGATAAAAGGGTAGAAATGTCTTGGTAGCTCAATTGGTAGAGCGTTGCACTGGATATGCGAGGGTCCTGGGTTCAAATCCTGATCGAGGCAAGAAAAATCTCATCAATTTTAATTGAAACGTCTGCATGCCAAGAAAATCCAACACACTGTAATAGTTATTTACCTAACAAGTGCGGAAAGCGGTACTTTACCGCACGCGACGGCAGTTGCACGAACGACGCGAATAAAAGAACAAGTTTGAACGTTTAATTTTAGAATGTCAGCTCTTTAATTGACAAAATAACAGATTTCTTCCCACAGCTACCTATTAATACCTGCCATTTTAATGTTCCAAAAAATCTTATTTTAGCAGATCCCACCTTCCATGAGCCTTCCTAAATCGATTTACTTATCGGGGCTGGTTTATTTTTGGTGGATCGTATCTGGGCCCAATGTTTCCATCTAAAATTTATCAGCCAAATTCTTCTTGTTTTCTATTTAAATGTTGATCTTCATGCTAATTTGAGAAATTTCTGAAAAGTCGAAGACTCTGTAAACTTTATAGGCTCAAAATTCACCCAAGAAGAGTTAAAATGTGAAACTCATTTTTGTAGAACTATTTCACGTGATCCATCTGGAAGATTTCAGGTTAATTTACTTGAGAAACTACCCCGTGTGATACCCCCTTTGAAAGGTTTTTTATTCCCCTTTAGAGGCGTGACCATTTCATTTCAGCTACAATATATATGGTATAGTAACGCTCGATGTTTGGCAATAGCGCATAACGAACTCAGTAGTCACACAGGTGCTATCTTTGGTAGCCGTATTCAGTTAGTCTCTGCATTTTATTTTGGAGCGCTTCACGACTGAGCAACGCGTCGAAATTGTTAAAAATTATCATCATTATCAAAACCAATGTATCTATTCGGCAGTTTAAGGTGTCAACGATAGTCCTTCAGAATCCACAATTCGCTGACCTAACGCCACTAGATTTTTTTCTCTGGGACTTTCTAAAATCCAAAGTCTATGTTGACAAACCTCGAACTGTTGCCGCCTTAAAGGCCAACATTAGGCACGTTATTGGCGAAATTGAGCCATTTTTATGAGATAACGTTATCGCAAATTGGGTATCCAGAATTCAACAAACCAGGCAAGGCAAAGTCGCGGCAGACATTTACCTGATATAATTTATGGAATAGAAACAAAATAGGTACTTATGTTAAGTATGTTGTTTCTATTCAATCCTCAAAAACGCACAGTTTCAGCATTTTTTAACCGACACAAAAATTCAATGGCATTGTATTCCTTCGCGTTCTCCTCACTTTGGGAGAATATGGGAAGCTGCAGTTAAAATCAGTCAAGCAGCATCTTAAACTAGAAATTAGCAACATCCCCTTTACTTTTAAAGAGTTTTATACCACTAGCTCAGTTTTATACCACTATCTAGAAATAAAAAAATCCAGGGTCGTATTTAAAACAATAAAGTTGATGATGGTGGCCTAAAGACGAAACGTCAAATTTCAAAATTGATAATGTCAACTTGTAGAGTAGGAAAAGTAGTAACGATAAAGTGTCATTTATTTTGAAATATCTCCTCAAATAAGCTGAGGAAAAAATTAAATCGATTTTGCAAAATTTCGGTTTTTTCCGGATATCTCGGAAAATGATCGGAATTCTTCAAATGTCAAAGTACCATTTTATTGAGCCTTAAATTCCGAAACCCCTTCAACCAAATTTGTATCTCTTACCGTTTCCGAAATCCCCATGTAGTACTTTTACCTGGGACACCCTGTATATAGGATCTATAATTCTTCTTGTCGAGCGTCACCTGCCGTCAGGAGTGGAAGTCCTGCTATAGGATTCTCAACATTTCGAGACGGCACGACCCGTTCGGTAGATACCGGTCGGAGTTCATCTCGGTATCGAGTCGGTACCGACTCCAAACTAATTCTTAACTTCTTTCGAGTCGCAGTCCGTAGCACCGAGTAAAATAATGTTGGTCACACTGCATTTTGTCTGCAGTTGTTATTTTTATTGGTATTACCATAAAATTGTGTATTTGTTGAGTGGAATATTACAAGAACACTTAACCTAATAGGACTGCTTATATTTACCTGAAAAGGGTCTGAAATTTCAGCCGCCGACCTCAACTCTCACTATACTCTCAGCGAAAAATACATTAGCCGAGTTTAAAACAGTATAGGTCAAAAAAACGAATTCCTAAATGTTACAAAACCTTTTCAAAATCACCTTTTCTACATTTACAATCGACGAAAAAACAGGCACAACCGTACAGACTTGATAGCGGCTTATTCATCCAATAAACAAATTACGAGCTCAGACCTTCCGCCATCAAGGAGCCTCAAGCCTCAGTTAGGACCTTTTAAGAGAGAACGGTCGAAACAATATGATTATTTAATAATAGAGTGATGAAAATAATAAATTAGAGTTTTGCAGATAAAAAGCGGTTTTCGTGGAAATAGATTAAATACGCCACTTTTCAACTAACGATTGAGCCCGAACGGTTCGTCGCAGGAAAAAATATAACGGATTGAATTCAAGGTAAATTTTATGTACACTCATTTTGAATACAGGTGTTGTTTCGTAAAAATCGATGGCTTTCGAGTTATTAGCAAAAGACTGCCAAACCTTCTTGTTTCTCTTCATTGTCTTACATCTTACAAAGACACGTATTGCATACTTCAGTTTTGTCTAGAAGCGATACAACTTCATAGAGGTAAATACCTACCAAATCAAAAACACTAAATTAAAGAAATACGATAAATGAATCACATGATAATGATTATTGTTGTCATATACAGTGTCTCCCATAATGTTCGCTACACATGGGGAAGTTTTTTATTTGTAGGATATGGAATTTTTTCTTATGTGCGATCGATCCTGCAATCTGCATGTCCGATAACCCAAAAGTACATTTTGACCTCGATTACGTGATCACTATTGTGGCGGCAAATTCGAAAATTTAGATATGGAAATGCGAAAAGTGGGGTTAGATGGCAAAATATCGAAAAAAGTTATTTGAAAAGAGTGATTAGAACGATGGTTTATTTTTCGCCATGGATCTCTCATCAAATAATATTAAACAATTTTTATTATTGACATAGTCTAAGTACCTCAATATTTGATGTCTATTGGCGTATTGGTAAAAGAAACTTAAATTCTTCATTGGAATTATTCCTAGGGAATTACCTAAATAAAAATATTCGATTAGCACATGAAACTGTTCTGGTAACAATACCCTGTATCTTGACAGTTAGGTAACGTGTTTTAGAATTGTATTGAAATTTTTGATAAAAAATCTCAATAACGGTTCTTTTCAAATGTTGTATCAACAGTAAATTATTAAAAATCTCACAAACTGTCAAGATACCTACAGGGTATTGCTGCAGAAAAGTTTCATGTGCTTAGTAGTCGAATATCTTTATTTAATTCTCTAGGAATGATTCCAATGAAGAATTTAAGTTTCTTTTACCAATACAGATTAAATATTGAGGGACTTGGACTATTTCAATAATAAAAACTGCATAATATTATTTGATAAGAGATCTATGGCGAAGAACAAGTGATTTCCTATTTTTTGTTGCCGTTCCTCCAAATTTCGCAAACAGCCCTAACACATCATTCACTTTTTTCAAATAATTTTTTCCGAAATTTTGCCATCCAACCCCACTTTTCGCATTTCCGCATATCTAAATTTTCGAATTTGACGCCACAACAGTGATCACGTGATCAATGTCAAAATGTACTTTTAGGTTATCGGACATGCAGGATCGATCGCACATAAGAAAAAATTTCCCATGTGTAGCAAACATTATGGGGGACACTGTATATGTATGATATACTCAATAATAATATATATTTCCGGATGTCAGAAGTATTATTTAATCAGATAAATCAAACTATAAACTCGCTTGAAATTCTTAACAAATAGATACCATCGACCAGACTTAATTAATGTATGAAGTTTAGCCAATCGTGAATTTAAGATTGACGTCGGTATTCGTTTAGCACAATAGAATTGATTTTTTTATTGCTGACTTTTTTGAAATATGAATGTGGGATGTGGGCTTGAAATATACATTGGCCGTTAGCTGAGAACTAAAGAAAAAATAATTGGTTATGAAAACAATGGATTTTATTAATGTAAA